TTTCCCTAAGAAGACTCATTAATTTATCTAGTGCTTTTCAACTTTCTTCGTATCCTTAAATTGCCAGCCGGGTAACAACAAAACAGTGTTTCTACTGACTTAACCATTTCCAGGGGTCAGTTCAGGCACCAGACTTGTTGCCCGTGAATTTGCCTGTCTGAGCCTGTCAATAGCATCTACCCACCTAACCCCTCTGGGCAGCGAGCTCCTGAACCGCACGACAGGCTACCTCAAGAAATTTTTAAGCTGTCTTATACTGATCTCCTACCGAATTAATTGGTCCAATCAGAAGGTTTAAGAAACACTGGTTGGTTGTGGACTCCTTAGAAATGCATTTCTGTTGAGAAGTTTTCAGGGAAGACACGGGCCCCTCCAAAAGGTTCAAGCTCACAGGCCTGCCCCTGCAACTACTGAGGAATCGTGTTTCCGAGCAGCTTTTCCCACTTGTTATGACGGGTACTTTGAACCACTACACCATCTTACATTACAGCACCAGAACATTCCCAATGTACTGTCTACAAAATACCATTTTATTATAAAAATAGAAATTGGACATGGGGGAGAGAAAGGAATTTTTTGTTGTTTGTTTTTAGAAATTGTCATCCTAATACAAATTAAATTGTGTTTCTGCTGGCTCCCTGTGAGGATCTCCCTCTGATTTATCTCAAGGAACAAGCAGTATTGAAACTGGAACCATTAGGTGCAAGTTGTACTAGCAGTGAAGGAAGCCCAAAGCTTAGCAGTGGTATTGTGAGCTTATTTATAGAAGACAAAGTGACAGGGCAGTTATTTAGATTGCAGTGACTATTGGCACAAATAAAAAGTCTGAAAATGCTCTTCAGATACCTTCCTTAAGGTAACTAAATGCTCTTCACTATGTACAAACTCAGTCCAGAGATCATTCTGTGTGGTTTCCCCCTCTAGACGGATATGAAGAACAAAATTCATATTCATAGTACATTAAACACTGATAATCCAAAAATTCTCTATCTGCAACAGTTCGGTTATGCTGCACTTATTTTCTCATTTATCATGTATGTACTTAATTGGTGTTACATTATAGTCTGACAGTAAAATACAATTAATGTTTCAAGTGAATTTACATTCCATGTATCACAAGATTATATTCCTGTCTCCAAC